TTCAACTCAACAATTTAATGACCTGTGCAACTCAGCTATATCACGTGGTTTACAGATATAACAAATGTAGTCTCAGTAATTATTACACTCTTGTTCATCCCAAAAATGCTTTAGAAAATTGTGTCACAACTGTATCTCAAGTTTGTCATAGTATAAACCATTGAAGACAATAATGGTAAATATATTTAATACAGTCTAGCGATCTTTTTTCAGGGGAGCAAAGGAATTGAAGGAGGAGGGGGGGGGCTCTGAAATTTTTTTGACTACCAAGGAGGGGGCTCCTAAAAAATTGAACCGCTAGCGAGGAAGGCTGCTAAAATTTCAAGCTTCGAGTTTCAATATCTTCATGCCCCCCCTTGTCATATTAAATGAACTTTCCCTAATTGATCAGTTTCAAGGAAAATGATACCATGTTCTAGACCCAAACTTGCTGACTTATATACCCTATCCCCAGGGTTCGCAAATACGCCAAAATTGTTCAGATGACTCCACTGAGGTTACGGAGGGAGTCACTTCTACTCCAGAAATTTTCAGTAACAAACAGGGAGCCAATTCGACTCCAGAAAGTGTCTGTAACAAACAAGGTTTTGTCCTTATCTTTTTCGCAACAAATACAATTTACGTTAATTGTAAACGTTGTAAACCTTAATTAAATCGTCAAAATTAAAGAATTATACTACACAACAAAACAGGAAGAGGGTAAATTACGATCAAAGTTTACTCGATGACCGCCATCATGGATTTTAGCTTTCCAGGTCAGTGGACCGACACAGCTACTTTGTGTATCCCTCACGATAGTGTAAACATGCCAGGACCATGTGCTGGAAAGTCTGAAAATGGCTTTTTTCGTTGTGATACTTGACTCCAAATATTCCAAACTGACTTCAAAATTTGTGAAGCAGAAGTCACAGTGACTCCACTCATCAATAAAATTTGCAAACCCTGCCTATCCCAGAGTAAGCTGCTTGAAAACCATACCCTTCACAGCACAGCAGCACAGACCTATATAGCCTATATATGCCAGTCCCCCGTTCCAGGGGTTTCGCCAAAGAGAAGTCTATGATTAAGTCCTCAAAATTCCTTACTGATGACATGAATGATCAATGTTTACATAATTATTAATCTGGTAGTCATGGGGTTCCATTCTGCAAGTTTGTTCAAGATTATTTTTGGGGCCAAATAGCAGACATCTCTCCAATGAAAATGTCTCTAGTGGTGAGGAGAGAGATGAGATAACAGTATTATACTGTTGGTATCAATTGCTTCCTTCGTGCACAGTGGTGTCAAAACAAGCCGGCGACCGCTGCAGTTCCACCAGCTACTTGATTATATGTTGCTGGCTACTTCAGACCCTCCTAGGCCCCCCCGGGGGGGGGGGGGCCCTTTGGGTATTTTTTGGGGGGGTATGGGCCCCCGGGCGGCCCAAATGGGCCCCCCGTTTTAAAAACATTTTTCCCTAAAATTGATCCCCCGTTCTGAAAAGGGGCCGTTTTTTTTTTACCCCCTTTTAGATTTCCCCCTAAAAC